ACAGCTGTTGCTTAACGCTGGTGTTTATTTAGCTTCAGTTTCTTAATGGCTTATACGATGATCTGGTTGAGACTAATTGACTGAAAATGATTGACTACTTTGTTGACTGACTACTATTAGATGTTACTAGAGAGGTGGCAGGATAAATAACCCTGGTGGATGTTTGGTTTTGGTCGTCATCAATCTGTCTACTGTTGATTTATTACTGTTGATGTAACATGGGGGGAAAACGTCAAGTATTTTCTGGTATTAGTGGTATTTATTGGTGGTGATACTGTTTCTTTTTTTTTTTTTCTAAAGTTAATCCTTTAATCAATTTTTAGTTGTCAGTACTATTCTTGTAACTAAATTTTACAAATATATATTTTTTTCTTGTAGTTTAAAGATCATGTAGAATGACGTTTAAATAATTTGCAAAGAAAATTATTGTTTTGCTTTTGTATTTGTTTATTTATTCTCTTAAAATTTGTAGAAGAAATAATTCTTTTTTTTTCCATTGTTGTCAACAATATAATTTTTGTTAATTTTTTTTTACTCCTCTTTAAACACACACTAAGGTCATTTTAATCATTTATACATCTAGCTTTTATATTGGTGAAAGAAATGAGGGGAAAAAAGGAATAAAACATGACTTCAAAATTTATTAACCTATTTCCGTTTACCAGTTTCATCTATTGTTGCTACTGCATTACAGTTGTCAGCTTAAAATGAGTAGCTAATTTTTGTTTTTTGTTGTTGTTGCTATAGTTGAATTAAATTTTTGACATTGATATGTATCAATGTATCAACTGTTTACTGGTAAGTTGATAGAGGTTACAGTTCTGCAGTAACAAACGAACCAAAAAAGTACTCCTTCTTCATTTAAATTGTGACAATAATGATGACCTTTTTTCCATGACTACTATGAAGACAATTATGAAGAAGATTACGATGCCAGTGATAATGATCCAAGAATGATACAGTCTTATGATCATTTCTTCTGAATTTGGTTTCCTGTGGATGAATGGGTAGTGTTATTCATTGTGATATTGGTTTTTTTTTCTTTGAATCTTTCAAACTTACACTTGTAAATGATGGGAAATTAGTTTTTGAAAAGACTTCAATCTTTTAGACAGACCTTA